TGTTAACCCACCAGCAGGGGCCTCCCACAGGGCTATGCTTTTGTGTTTTATGCCTAGCGTCCTACTCCTGCAGATGGCAGAATAACCCATCCGTTGACTGAAGAATTGTCCTTCAATGAACAGAAGAGAAAAATTGTGGTACTAATGTGGTACAGGCATGACAGCAGAACTCCCCTTTAGACTGCATGGTAGATGCGGTTGCACTGGTGGGTGCTGAGGAGTAACCCGAGACAGGTAGTGTTGGGGAAAAAGAGCAAAGTATAGGACTGGCAGTGTCCCCAGAAGTGACAGAACCTTCCCTAAAACTGTTGTCACAGTGTGTAGCCACAGAGCACACAAATCCCCACATCTACTGTATGATCTGTCATTGCACAGATTGCCCCAGGTACTCAAGACTGGGGCAGCTGCATGCATAGTACAGGACCTCAGAGGGATGCTGTGAAGGCTCAAAAGCAACCCCCAGGCCTCCAATGGGAAGCCATAACGGTGCCAAATTTAAAAAAAAGGGGAAGTAGTCCCCACTAAAGCTCCATGTTAACCCTTTTAGGATCAGGAGCTGATGCACGGTGCACCATGCAGGGACTAAGCCCTACCTTACCTGTGCCTTAGATGCAGTGTCATTCAGAAGGGAGCAGTACCCATTTATAGGGGCATGCTCCATCCGATCCTCACCATCCCATTAGGCATACCCCCTGAAGGGTGTCTTCAGGGACAGGGCTCCACTGAGATGGACCACAGCCCAGTTCCTGTATAGCAACCTGCAGCACATTCTGCATTTTATCTGTATTTTAATTTGCTTGTGTGGAATTTCACTTTAAATATACAACTTAATTAAATGGTCATGGCCTATTATGAGAGGTCTATGAATATATCAGATTGATACATCTCTTGAATGGGGAACACTATGAGAAAGTCATTAACTAGACTCTACCATGAATATATTGCCACGGCAATAAAATGAACAGTAAGAGAAAAAAATTCAGGCCCCCAGAATGGACTTACCTGTGCCCCATTAGAGCATGTCAGAGAGATCTCCACAATGAAAACCACTTCAGACGAGATAACTGCATCTGAGGTAGTGTAGTACGATGGAACAATGGAGGGTTCTGTGCAAGTTTCAGCTGAAAAGAAAGATAAAACTGTTATGGTAAAATAGGTTAGAACAGGTCTGGATAAATCTCAGCCAGAATTTGGTGACAATCCCACTGAGCGTTAAGAAAAAAAAATTTAAAGGCCAGCACTATGCAACCTATATTTGACTATACAGGTTCCTGGTACATGCATCTTCAGACCTAACACATACCTGCACTTCAGACCTCATATCAGCTCCAATCCATAAACTTCAGACCTCAGATCAGCCCCAATCCCTGTGCCTTTGATACTATTTCCAAATAATTAGCCATGTGCTTATTTGTATGACTGCATATGACACTTCAACAGTAATTCTGACACTGGCGTGCCATGGCAAAATAAATAAAAAAATCCAAAAAAGTCACTGCCCAAATATTTTATTACCCAGACTTCAGTATCCAGCACAGTCTTCTCTCCCACCTTTCCCCTGCCCAATTACAAAATTCATAAACTGTGGCTGCCAACAGCTTCTTTAGCAACCGATTACATCATCAGTTGCTAGGCAGCTGTGTCTGGTAGCGGTGGGAAAGCAAGGAGGAGACTACAGACAAAAAAAGCCGGTGTTCGGTCGCAACAGGAAACTTGTCCAGAAAAGCAACTGGTGACTTGCCAGCAGGAGATTTCAATGGGTCAGTGGTAATCTGCATGAGCGCACCCGGCGACAAAACAGCTTTTACCATGCTATATATTAAGTGGCGATAGGTGGGATTCGAACCCACCTATACACGCCAAGGTTTGTCACACAGAGCAGCTAGCCACTGGACTATCCCTTACGGATTCCTCAGCCTTCTCACTAGGGCTGCAACAACTAAATCGACATAATCGATTATAATCGCTTATTGAAAAAGTTGTCAACTTTTTCAATCATCGATTAATCGGCTTCTGGTTAGTTGGCCCCGTTCACGTCTCCACACACACTGCGCATCCACGCGCCGCACCTCCTCCGCCTCACGCTCGCCACTGCTAACCGCATCCACGCGCCGCACCTCCTCCCCGCCTCACGCTCACCACCCTCCCACATCCCCGATCGGCACAGGGACGCAGGGAGAAGAAGTAAGGAGGAGCAGGTGTGGGGGGGATGACAGCCGCCGATAGACAAGCCCTATCTCAGAAGCAAGTTGCTGGAAGACTGCTCAGGTAAGCCTGCACTCCCCCCTACATGGTGCTCTATAATGTATTGCTGGGATTTGTATTCCTCTATAGCTGATGGTACATTGTGCTGTATATTATACAAAAGGACTACAAATCCCAGCAATAGTGCATTATACACTGTATGTATAATTTACTATTGCTGAGATTTGTTGTATCCCTCTATAGCTAGTGGTATTCTGCATTGCGCTGTATAGAGGACTACAAATCCCAGCAATAGTACATTATACAGCACAATACAGACTACCACCAGCTACAGAGGAGTACAACAAATCCCAGCAATAATATATTATACAGCGCAATGCAGAATACCACCAGCTATATACCGTGTTTCCCCGAAAATAAGACTGTCTTATTTTTTTTTAGCCCCCAAAAACCACACTAGGTCTTATTTTCAGGGGATGTCTTTTTTTTAAAATGTGCAACAAAATGTACAACAATCCAAAGTTATCTGGTATCACTCCGCCTGTCACAGTAACTGGCGCTATAGAGAGGAAGTATCTGCCGGTGCCATTCTGCATTCATTGCTATATGCTATATAAATTTTACACTTTTCATTTCACTATATTGCACACCACACTTTTTTTTTCTTATTTACTTCCACCGCTCCAAGCTTGCTCCTGTGATGGACTGCAATCTCAATACCAACTAGTAGTCCCATCACAGGAGCCATTTTTAAATTTTTTTTTATTTTTTATCCGATTAATCGAACTCAATAATCGGCTAACTAATCAATTTTGAAAAGCTCTACTCACCCAGTTCAATGAACCGCTGACCCATCTGCGCACATAGAACAGTGTTCTCACCCAGGACAACTAAAGGATTGGTTGTCTCAGCGCATTGCTCGCTCCTCGCAAAGAACAGGGGCAGAGTTTTATTTTTTTTGCCACTATTTACATTGCTTATTACGTATCTCCGTCAATACCAATTATAGTTTCAAGAAACTTCAAGTGAATACAATTAATAACAGTGTCTCTAACATTACTCGTTATCATAATTAATAAAACAATAAAAAAAAAAAAAAAAATTTGAAAAGCCTCACCCTTACAGTTCGATGCAAAAAGCAAAGTGATGGCCAGGCAAGGAGGAGGCTACAGATAAATAAAGCCGGTGTTCTGTCAAATCAGCCAACTTGTCGAGAACGGCAACAGTGCCACTTCCGGTGACTTACCAGCGGGAGATTTCAATGGGTTGGCGGTAGTGCGCATGAGCGGACCAGGCGACATAACAGAAAGCCCTTAACAATACTCGACGAGTCGTGCAACTTCTGCCAGTGGGCATGCACTAGTATAAAACTAATACATTGGCTTTTTTTCGCTTAGTGCTTGTAGTGGGTTCTGTTTAATTATGTGGAATACACAGGCTCTTAGGGGGATGGGTGAATCTTTTAATCCATTCTGCTTTCCTGTCCATGAATAGGTGATAGAGAACACTTTTGCTGTAAAGCTGCTGTGAAGCTTCATGGAAACAGCCTAAGACCAAGAATAATCCATGTTGTTGTTATGCACCATTAGTAGCAATGCTAATCTAAGGCCATGGGAAGCTAATGTAAGCCCAGGCGTAGTTCAAAGCCCTAGGATTTCAGCAATTATCAACTGTTTATTAAAATTGCTTTTTTTACTCAAAGAACAAAAAAATAAATAGGTTTTAAAATGCAGACCTTGCCTGCTTTATTTGTGTGACAGAACAAATAAGCCTGCTAATTTAATTCACTGCTTGAGGGCCAGTTCCCACCAATTGCGCTGCGTTCCAGAGCGGTAGCTGCAAAGTTCTGCCACGCGTTTACTGTGCATTCCAATTGGTGTGAACTGGCCCTCAATGAAATTTTGTTATCTAGCTGGGTTCACACTTTGCATTTCCCACGTTTGGTGCACGTTCCCATTGATTTCAATGGCTGGGCAACGCGCGCCGAACATGGGAAAGAAGCGCATGTAGCAAAATTTGCATCATGCATTTCGCAGTTTTTATCTTGCGCAAAAAGAAACCGCATTCCCTTGCACGCTTTTGGAGTGCCATTGCATAGTAAACACTTAATGCTGCCGTTTCCGCCCGTTCACAAAATGCGAAGTGTCAATCCCAGCTTAGATGAACATTGGACTTAGCCTTCTGTACTGCATTGCCTCACATCCAAGGCTCTTCACAGCTGCCCAACATGCCTAATTAGAGAGCGGCTGATTTATCAGAAAAAATACAAATCATTTCCCCCCCCCCCCCCCCCTTATCAGGCGGGGTTCTACAGTATCTGA